TTTTTTTTGTCTACCTTCCCCACTAGACTATAAATTCTATATTTTTATGGTGTATAATTCTTCTATAACTTTTATAGTAGTAACTCTGTAAGCCGTACATGAACAATATACATGTTAATATACAGGCACACTGTGCAGGCAGATGTTAGGTTTGGGCAGGTGTGGTGGGTTAAATCATTAGCACCAATTCTTCACCACCACCACATATGCATGCTCTTTGCCATATGACCTTGAAGTCCCGCCCTTTGACCTCGGGCTCAACCAAGAGACTTGCTTCAGACAATGGGATGGTATCAGACACAACACAGACAAAGGTATATGCAGTGTGTTTGTGCACGTGGTTGTGCCCTCTTGCATTGCTGCCATTGCTACAAAAAGAGCTTCCTCCAGACAGCCGCCCCCGCACCTTGGTCTCAAAATTAACTCAGATGTACCCGAGCAAGGAGCTCAGCCTACACAGATCCACAGCTTGCAGTAGATTCACTCAACCTAGCCCCACCTAGTTTCCAGCCACCACAGCATGAAGCACAGTTGCCCATAACCTGCAGATCCTTAAGATTACATGATTGTTATTTTAAGCCACTGAGTCTAGGAGTGGTTTGTTACACAGCATCACTCTGACAACAGCTAACCAATACAAGGGGTTCTTATGAGATGGGTAGTATGTCCATAACTGGGTGCTACTGGGTCTAAGCTAATCACAGGGTCCTGCCGGAAGCTTCACTCAAAAGTGAATGAATATCTACTGGGTAGGCCATGTGGTATAATGGTCAAGATTGTGGAGCACAGAGCCATCAATAAACCTAAGCTTGAATCCTAGCTCTAAAACTTAGTACCTAGGTCACACTGAAGCTGTAACTGGGCAGATTTCTTAACTGTCCAAATGACTGCTTTTTCACTTATAAGAAAAGAATAATAATTACAATATAACTTTCCTCTTAAGGTGTTTTGAGACTTAAAAAATTTTTTTAACGTTTATTCATTTTTGAGAGACAGAGCACAAGTGGGAGCAGGGCAGACAGAAAGAGAGACAGAATCTGAAGCAGGCTCCAGG